ATGGGATATACTTGCCTTCCTCATGTTTTACACAAATCTTACCTAAAAGACAATAGAGTATATAAAATGAGGTTTACAAAAAGTTCCAAGTGCTCCAATATTGAAGTTATACAGGACACTGATGACGACTCTTCTGGAGTACTGTGTCCAGTTCTGGTGCCCCTGTATCAGGAAGGATATTATTAAGCTAGAGACGGTTCAGAAGAAATTTCCCAGGATGTTGCCAGAAAAAGAAGGTTTGAGTTATAGGGAGAGGCTGGGACTTTTTTCACTGGATTGTAGGAAGTTGAGGGCTGACCTTGTAGAGGTTTATAAAATCATGAGGTGTATAGATAATGTGAATAACAGGTGTCTTTTCACTAGGGTGGGGGATTTCAAGACTAGTGGGTATATTTTTAAGGTGAGAGGAGAAAGATTTAAAAAAGACATGAGAGACAATTTTTTTTAACACAGAGAGTGTTCATGTGTAGAATGAATTTCCAGAGGAAGTGGTTCAAGCAGATACAGTCACAACATTTAAAAGACATTTGGATAAGTACATGAATAAGAGAAGTTTGGAGGGATATAAGCCAAGCGCAAGCAGGTGGGACTAGTTTAATTTGGGATTATGGCTGGCATGGACTGGTTGGACTGAAGGGTCTGATTCCGTGCTATACGACTCCATGACACAATGACTATCTAAATAAATGCTTCATAATAAAAATTTAATATCATAAACACAATCATCTAAAACAAACAAAATCTTTGAATACACAAAATTTCCCCATTACCTGCAATGTTACCCTGAACAACATACCTAATTTTGATAGCACAGCTGTAAAGTGCAGGAGGCAGGGTTTCACCAGCATGAACTCAAATCTTTTCTATCAGTAGGCCTGCAGAACAATTACTTTATCTGTGGGAGAACTGGTATTTGGAGACATTTGTGTTAACTGAGGAGAAGTAGCAGAGATTTGTAAAAGGTAGATCACGCTTATCCACTCTAGCTGAATTTTTGATGAATGAACAAAGAAGGTTGATGAGAAGAATATGGTTGGATGTTGTGTGCATGGATTTCAGGAAAGCCTTTTACTAGGTATCACACACATGGCTGATTAACAAAACTGAGGCTTAAGGAACTGAGTAGTAAAAATGTTCATGTCCAAATTGGATTTTAAAAAATGGCTCAAAGACAGAAAACAGTAAGTCACCAGCTCTGGAGAAGGGTCACTGGACCTGAAACGTTAACTCTGATTTCTCTTCACAGATGTTGCCACACTGGTTGAGCTTTGTCAGCAATTTCTGTTTTTTGTTCCTGACTTACAGCATCCGCAGTATTTTCGGTTTTTAAACAATAACTCACGGTTACTTTCAGGACTGGGCAGTGTCAGCGTGCTGTTACTCAAGGACCAATTCTAGGGCAATCATTTTTTTCATTTTGCTAATGGTTGGATCTTGGAATACAGAGATTTTCAAAATTTGATATTATACCCAAATTGCCTGGAAGGAACAGATAGACTAGGACCACTGAATCTACACTGACTGGCCACATCAAATTCTACTTTTAATTATCCTTATTTTGATCGGTGGTTAGGATAAAAAAATTCTATAATTCTGTCCATTTTCCCATAAGTGTCTTTCATTATACATTCTTTTTCCATTATAAATTGTAGCGCTTCCCTGTTTCAAATCGCACAGTAACAGGAAGATCACATGGTAGTACGGCATTGTGCATGTGGCACAATTGTAGGAAGGGATCTTAATGTTCAAAAGCACAGAAAGTGGGATGTATGGGTTAAATACAAAGATAATTTTAAAGGGAAATTGACCAAGAGATCAGAAATAAAGGGGATTTAAAATGGAGTATCTACCACTCACGAGTGGGGTGTCCTAGGCTTCTGTATTTGACAACCTTCTATTCAAATGGCAAATTGTGTGCTGCATCAGCTTAAAAGAGGGGGAACAGGTAAGAACCAGATTTGGATATATTTATGATGGTGGCCTCAAAGTCAAAAACAATCGTCCTAAAGAGTCATCGGAGTGTACAACAGTGCACTTATGTGTATACCTGTGCATATTGGAATCATAGTCTTACAGCACAGAAGAGGCCCTTTGGTGTATCAAGTCTGTAATGAACAACGTAAACTGATCACTTTCCTGCACTTGCCCCATAGCTTTGAATGTTATGTTGTTATTGGAATATTATTGGAACTGAATGCCTGTTGGCTAAAGATTAACTAAAAGGGCAAAAGATTTGGTAGTAGTCACTTATCACTCACTCAAAGCTCAAGCTCAGTGTCATGAGGCCACAGCCAAAGCAAACAAGGGACCTGGGCCAGAGTTGCATTTACCAAACAACTATTTACAACACTTTATGGAATTTATAATCGGATTTGGCATCATTTTATTTGATGTACTACGCACAGTTTATGCTCAGGAAGAATACTTTCACACTGGAGAAAGTACAGAGAAAGCCAACAAAGGTAATAAAAATGAAGTAAAAAGTAGCACTGCTCCTGTGAAGTGACACAGATCTTTTACTATGTTAATGGCACTATACAAATGCAAGTAAAACATAACATAGAACAGCACAGCACAGGAACAGGCCCTTTGGCCCACAACGTTGTGCTGAACATGACGCCAACTTAAATTAATCCCTCTGCATGCCCACCATCCACATCACTCCATTCCTTGCAAATTCATGTGCTTATCTAAAAATCCCTTAAACACCCCTAATGTATTTGATTCCACCACCACCCCTGGCAGTACGTTCCAGACTCCCTGTAAAACAAAACTTGCCCCTCACATCTCCTTTGAACTTTCTTCCTCTCGCCTTAAATGCATGCCCCTAGTATTAGATATTTCAAAAAGATTCTGACTGTCAACTCTATCTGTGCATCACATAATTTTGTAGACTTCTATCAAGTCTCCCCTCAGCCTCTGCTGCTCCAAAGAAAATAACGTGAGTTTATCTAGCCTCTCCTTATAGCTCATACCCTCTATTCCAGGAAGCATCTTGGTAAACCTCTTCTGCACTCTCTTCAAAGCCTCCACATCCTTCCTGTAATGTGGCGACCAGTATTGAAAGCAATACTCTAGGTGTGGCCTAACCAAAGTCTTATAAAGCTGCAATATGACATCCTGACTCTTGTACTCCTGACCGACAAAGGCAAGCATGCCATACGCCTTCTTTACCACCCTATCTACTTGAACCTCAAGATCCCTCTGTACATTAATGCTGTTCAGGGTCCTACTTTTCCTCAACATTTGAACAGCACTAGTCACAGACTCCAGCCAGAAAAGCACCCTTCCACTACTACCCTCTGCCTTCTATGGGCAAGCCAATTCTGAATCCGTGCAGCCAAGTCGCCATGGATTCCAAACATCTTATTCTTCTGGATGAGCCTACCATGAAGGTTCTTGTCAAAAGCCTTACTAATCCACGTAGACAACGTTCATTGCTCTACCCTCATCGATCACCTTTGTCACCTCCTCAAAAAATTCATTCCAGTTAGTAAGACATGACCTACCCCACACAAAGCCATGCTGACTGTCCCTAATTAGGCCATGCTTTTCCAAATGCGCAAAGTAGTTGCTGATGACTCAAACAGGAGCCATGTATTAATTTCTTTCTGACATTACAAAGTTGGTCAAGGTCAAAAACTCTGAAGAGTGCAACTAACTTGCCTCTCATTACAAATATGCTTCTTGCCATATTGCACACGAAATGTGATTCAGTTATCCTAGCTGCAAGGTTAGTGGCTCAGGTGTTCACACTTGGAGATTACAATCTCTTAAAAGTGCAAGAGGTCAACAGAGTATTTGCCGAGATAGGCTAAACTAGGCAGAAACACACAGCAAGGCTGGATTTGCAAGGTCTTGGGGTAAATAACAAGTTGTAATCAATTAATTCCATCCAACGTGGTCTAAGTATCCTGGGAATCATCTACATTGTGTTTTCTCGATAATTAACCCAAATACTGTAGTTGACTGTACACTTCTTTAATTTCATTGTTATACTTAATTATGGTTCTCATCTGCTATGCACTCTGGGTAAACGCAGTTTAGATAGGACTTGACGGGAATTGTTACTTGGACATTCATCGATCTGAAAGGTGTAAAATTGGCAAAAGACAGACTACAGCAGAAATCTAGCAGAACTACTCAATTCAAACTACTTGCTATGTGGGAACAGGGTGCATAAACAAATCCCAGAAGATAGAGATAAATAATATGCATTGAATCCTGTATAAGATAATTGGGTTCCAAGGTCACCACATTTTCAATTCTTGGCACGGGAATGCTGACTTCATGTACCAGAGATAGAGCTTGGGAAGCCATTAATTTGAGAGTGGCATGACTTCAGCAAGCACAGATGGTTTAATAACATCTTTTGTAAGTGGTCTGTTCAAATGATAGCTTGGCAAAGATTGAGTTAAATCAGTCTTCATAAGCTTGGCTGTGTAAAAAGGACGCAAAGGAATTCTTGAGCACAGAGGTTTTATGTATTGAATTTATGTGAAGATCATGCCAGTACCTGGATTGCAATTAGAATGCTGTTTTGCTTTGATGGTACTGTCTCAGATATAAAGTGTCAGATCTTGCCAACATTAAATAAACTTTAACCACTGTCACTACTAAAGAGAATTACTGCAAATCATATCAGAGTTCGAGAAAAGGGGATAACTCTATTATTAACTCCCTTCATCTCAATTTTCTTACAATGCACAGAAATTAGGTTTATCAAACAGGCAGGGCATGCAACTAGGCTAATGGCGTGTGGTAGACTAACAGAAGGCTGGAAGAACACAGCAAGCCAGGCTGCATCTGGAGGAAAGAAGCAGTCAACATTTCAGTTGGGGGCGGGGGTTTGGGTTCGGGGGTGGGTGTTTGGGGACAGGGGTAAGGTTTGGGGGCGGGGGTTTGGGTTTGGGTTTGGGGGCGGGGCAGGGGTTTCGGGGCCGGGGGTTTGGGGGCGGGGGGCAGAATCCTCCTTCCACACCCCCACCCCGGTCACTGACCTTTCTACCGCCCAGGGCTGGGATCTCCGCCTCTCTCTGTTGCTGCAGGCCCGTATGCCGCTCGTAAGCGACCGCAAAACCGCTCCGCTTCTCTGCATCTGACGAGGAGAACCTGGTGCAGACAGCTCGCGGGGTCAGACGTCCTCCACAGACAGCCGCCTGTTTGACCGCGGAGATCAGGCCGCTCCACACCGTCGCCATGACACCGGCCGTTCCCCACACACCCCACCCCCTTTCCAGACAACGAGCTGGTGCTTGAGCCAAGAGGGTTCCGGCGGATAGGAGCTGTCCTGACTTCCACAAACAGCACCACTCAGACTAGTTACTGTAACTGCAAGCACAGCTATCGGCCCTTGCGAAATTCCCACTTGGGGCCGATTATTGCTGTTTTGCAGAGGAATACTAGAGTTTACTCGCAATGTGTATTAAATAGTTGTCTCAGTCATTCACCTAACAAATATATTTCGAAATATATCCGCAAAAACTGAGGATGCTGGAAATCTGAAATAAGAACAAGAACATTTTAACTACAAAATAACAATAAACAATAAAAACATTGATGGAGAATCTTGTCAGGTCTGACAGCATCTGTGCAGAGGGAGACCGAGTTTCTAGTTCCAGTTCTGAAGAAGGGTTAATGGACCATTAATTCTTATTTTCTCTCTACAGATGCTGCCAGACCTGAGGAGTTTCTCCAGCAATTTCTGTTTTCTGGATTTATCTGACTCCTGTTATTTGAAAATGTATTTCAAATGCTGTGAGAGTTTTATTAATGGACAGAGTAGCAATTGGTTCAGGCAGTACCAACATATGTAATGGAACCTGCCAGGGAGCAAGCTATCCTAGATCTAGTCCTGTATAACGAGGCAGGCAATAATTAATGATCTCACAGTTAGGGATCCTCTCGGAAAAGGCAATCACAGTATGGTCGAATTTAAAATACAGATGGAGCATGAGAAGGTTAAATCCAGTACCTATGTCCTGTGCTTAAACAAAGGAGACTACGAAGGAGTGTGGGAGGAGTTAACTAAGGTAGAATGGGAGCAAAAACTTTATGGTGTGTCAATTGAGGAACAGTGGAGGACTTTCACAACGATTTTTCACAGTGCTCAGCAGAAGTATATTCCAGTGATAAGGAAGAACTGTAGGAAAAGAGAGAGCCAGCCATGGATGTCTAAGGAAATAAAGGAAAGTATCAGTTTGAAAAAAAACACATACAAAAAAGCAAAGAATAGTGGGAAGCTAGTAGACTGGGAAATCTTTAAAGGCCAACAGAAAGCCACAAAAAAAGTTATAAAGAAAAGTAAGATCGATTATGAGAGTAAACTAGCTCAAAATATAAAAACAGAAAGCAGAAGTTTCTATAAATACGTAAATCGTAAAAGAGTGGCGAAGGTAAACATTGGTCCTTTAGAGGATGAGAAGACCAATTTAATAACTGGGAATGAGGAAATAGCCGAGACATTAAACAGTTATTTTGTGTCGGTCTTCACTGTGGAAGACACAAATAACATGCCGAAAACTAATGGCAAGAAGGTTATAGCAGGTGAGGACCTAGAAACTATCATTATCACTAAGGAGGCAGTGCTGGGCAAGCTAATGGAGCTAAAGGTAGACAAGTCTCCTGGCCCTGATGAAATGCATCCCAGGGTACAAAAAGAGGTGATGGGGGAAATAGCAAATGCAGTAGTAATTATGTACCAAAATTCACTGGCCCCTGGGGTGGTGCCCGCAGATTGGAAAACAGCCAATGTGACGCCACTGTTTAAAAAAGGAAGTAGACAAAAAGCAGGTAACTATAGGCCAGTTAGCTTAACTTCAGTAGTGGGGAAAATGCTTGAATCTATCATTAAGGAAGAAATAGCAAAACATCTGGATATAAATTGTCCCATTGGGAATACCCAGCATGAGTTCATGAAGGGTAGGACATGTTTAACTAATTTGGAGGAATTCTTTGAGGACATTACTTGCATGGTGGACAATGGGGAACCTGTGGATGTGGTGTATCTGGATTTCCAGAAGGCATTTGACAAGGTGCCACACCAAAGGCTGCTACATAAGATAAAGTTGCACGGTATTACAGGTAACGTATTGGCATGGATAGAGGATTCGTTGACCAGTAGAAAGCAAAGAGTAGGGGTAAATGGGTGTTTTTCTGGTTGGCGGTCATTGGCTTGTGGTGTGCCTCAGGGATCAATGTTGGGACCGCAATTGTTTACAATTTACATAGATGATTTGGAGTTGGGGACTAAGTGTGGTATGTCAAAATTTACAGATGACACTAAGATGAGTGGTAGAGCAAAGTGTGCAGAAGACACTGAAAGTCTGCAGAGGGATATAGATAGTCTGAGTTGGCAAATGTCAGGCAGATGGAGTACAATGTTGATAAATGTGAGGTCATCCATTTTGGTAGGAATAACAGCAAAATGGACTATGTTTTAAATGGTGAAAAATTGCAGCACGCTGCTGTGCAGAGAGACTTGGGTGTCCTTGTGCGTGAATCGCTGAAGGTGGGATTGCAGGTGCAGCAGGTAATTAAAAAGGCAAATGGAATTTTGTCTGCCATTGCTAGAGGGATGGAGTTTAAAAACAGGGAGGCTATGCTGCAGCTGTATAGTGTCCTGGTGAGGCCACACCTGGAGTACTGTGTGCAGTTTTGGTCTCCTTACTTAAGAAGAGATATACTAGCACTAGAGGGGTGCAGAGGAGATTCACTCGGTTGATTCGAGTTGAGAGGGTTGGATTCTGAGGAGAGACTGAGTAGACTGGGATTATACTCATTGGAATTCAGAAGAATGAGGGGAGATCTTATAGAAACATATAAGATTATGAAGGGAATAGATAAAGGTGGAGGCAGGGAGGTTGTTTCCGCTAGCAGGTGAAACTCGGACTAGAGGGCATTGCCTCAAAATAAAGGGAAGCAGATGTAGGACTGAGGTCAGGAATTGGAGGAACTTCTTCACCCAAAGGGTTGTGAATCTGTGGAATTCCCTGTCCAGTGAAGCGGTTGAAGCTACCTCGCTGAATGTTTTTAAGGCAAGGCTAGATAAATTTTTGAACAGTAAAGGAATTAAGGGTTATGGTGAGTGGGCGGGTAAGTGGAGCTGAGTCTCAAGAAGATCAGCCATGATCTTATTAAATGGTGGGGCAGGCTCGAGGGGCCAGATGGCCTACTCCTGCTCCTAGTTCTTATGTTCTTATGAAGATGTGGGGCTGAAAATGCACTGAAGAAGATCATAGGATGATTGGCAATAAATCATAGATAAACACAAAGCAGCAGGTTGTGAAGAGATGCTGAAGCAGAAGACTGAAGAGAGGACAGAGAGGATAGTGATGCCGGTTGAGGTGAGTAGCACAAGCAGACAATGAATGAGAAAGAGAAAGCTGGGAAAGAAAAAAATGGAAAGTTTAAGGGCACAGGAGGCAGATGCAAGAGTGAGGGGAGGTAGGGTAAAAGGAATGAGCAAGGGGCAGAAAGAAAGAGAAAGATAAGGAAGAACAATGACAGCCATGATGGGTTGAATACACTCATCCTGTTTCTATGACAGGAAAATTTACTCTAAAACCTTGGACAGGAAAAAGGAAATAACTGTTGGAAAGAACATTAAAGAAAAAGGGCACAAGGCCAACATTGGGACATAAAAGTTTGAAAACATGTACCAACAGATTTAAGAACAGCTTCTTTCCTGCTGTTATCAGACATATGAACAGTCCTCTCATACAGTTACAGTTAAAGTTGAACTTTCTCTGCAGCTGTAACACTATATTCTGTACTATTCCCCTGACATAAGGTGTGATCTGACCAGTTAGCACGCAAAACAATACTTTTCACTGTATGTCAGTACATGTGACAATATTAAATTAAATCAAATCAAACCAAACAAACAGTGAAAATGGGTTGTTACAACTGGTAGTATGTTAAGGGAGAAAGATATCAAGGCTCAGGGGGATAAATATGAGAGTGTGAAACGCACTGTGGGGAAGAGAGATTTACAGCTCTAGAGAAATGGACTGAAATAAATATTAACTGAAAATGTTTAATAATCTGTTGTAGTGCCTGTACATTAAGATGTATTTAAAAGTTTAGCTATGAACATGTTGGTTCAATAAGAAGTTGTAAAGTATGTGCGATTGTCATTGGGAAATGGACAGGACACAGAATCAACATAGGAAAGAAAAGTTTTCGTCCACTGCTTCTGGGAAATATTGACCTCTGGTGGTAGCACAGTTGAGCTATAGATAAGCAATTAGATGTGGCAGAATGGGGTAAATAATTGAGAATTTTACTCAAGATTCAAGCAATAAAGATGTGATTTAAAGTGGACAGGGCTGAGACGTTAGATCTCTGTTTACAAGGACAGGTAGCAGAATGTAAATTGGGAAGAGGCGTGATGAGTTGGAATGGTTTTATGTTGTGTGCTCCGATATAGCAGTAATTTACCACACGATGTCTTTTCCAAAATGCAGGTAGAGTACAAAGTTCAAGATATCAAAAGTGATTCTGTACGCCGTGGAGAAGGGTCCCGACCCGAAACGTCAACTTCCTCGCTCCTCTGATGCTGCCTGGCCTGCTGTGTTCCTCCAGCTCCACACTTTATCTCACGCTCACCTCTGACATTCTTTTAGAAAAATTATTTATAGCCTTCAAACACAAAATTCTTACCTTTACAAAATAAAATGAAAGAACTGCAGATGCTGGAAATCAGAAACAAAAACAGAAACAACAATTTTCCAGCAATTTCTGTTTTTGTTTCATGCCCTTACACCTTTTTGTTGAGTACAAACCAAAGTTTTCTAAAGCCATTTTCTTTAACCAATTCCCCTGTGAACTTTGGTCTAAGTTCCTTCATTATTGGTACTGCGTAGGCATGGGCCACTGAAAATAAAGTGAAAACCAGCCGCTATTTGTTCTTTTAGTTTCTGAAGGATTGAAGAAGCTCTGTTCAATGCCTGCTTTTTGGCTGAAGGACAATAAAATAGGTGTAGACTATTTGAAACTACTGAATATTTGAAACTATCCAATATTTGTTACAGTCACAGCTGATCTGTGGCTGAACTCCATAAAACTAACTTTGCCCCACATCATGTAATATCTTTGGACAAGAAAAATCAAACTCAGTCTAAAATTGATAATTGAGCCAGCATAACAATGCTACTTGAGGAAGAAAGTTCCAAACTCCTACCACACTTGCCTTCATTGATCAGACCTTTGTGTGCAAGAGTTGGGACATTATGTTATGTTAAGGTTGGACAGGACATGGGTGAAACTTCTTCGGGAGTACTGTGTGCAGTCCTGCTTGCCCCGCTATAGGAAGGATATTAATTTGAACAGGGCTCAGATGAAACTTGCCAGGAATGGAGGATTTTAGTTATAAGAATAGGCTGAAACGTTTTCCACTGGAACATTCGAGGTTGAGGGGTGATGTTACAGAAGTTTATAAAATCGAGGGGCACAAATAAAGTGAATAGCAAGTGTCTTTTCCCTAAGGTAGGGGAATTCAAAACTAGGGGGCATATTTTTAAGGTGAGTGGAGGAAGTTTTAAAAAAGGACACAGGGGCAACATTTTTACACAGGCATTGCTTCATGAGTGGAATGAACTGACAGAGGAAGTGGTAGATACAGGTAACAGTTACAACATTTAAGAGATATGTGGACAGGTACATGAATACCAAAGGTTTGGAGGGGTATGGGCTAAACTCAGGCAAGTGGGTTTAGTTTGGGAACATGGTCAGCTTGAATTAGTTCGACCACGGGGTCTGTTTCTGTGCTGTATGACAAAAATAGATCAGGATAGGAGGGTGAATAGTTGTTAATGGGGACTATTAGTGACTAACAACAGTGGGTGTGTAATGGCAGGCTATGTGACAACAAGGCCTGGTGTGGCGGGTAGGGGGCTGGGACATGGGAGAGTTTAGGCCCTAAAATTATTGAACTCATTATGGAGTCCAGAGGGCTGCAGGATTCCCAAGCAGAAAATGAGATGTTGTTCTTCCAGATTGCATTGAGCTTCGCTGGAACACTGCAGCAAGCCAGAGACAGATGTTGGCCAGGGAACAGGGTGGTGTGTTAAAGTGGCAGGCAACAAGTAGCTCAGGGTCTTTTTCTGTGAACAGAACATAGATGCTCTGCGAAGAGGTCACCCAGTCTACACTTTGTTTCCTCAATGTAGAGGAGACCACATTGTGAACAGTGAATGCAGTAGACTAGATTATGGGAAGAGCAGGTGAAGTGCTGTTTCACTGGGAGGTATGTTTGGGTCCTTGGATACTGGGGAAGGAGAAGGTAAGTGGGCAGGTGTTGTACCTTCACCGGTTATAGGGTAAGGTGCCATAGGGCTGTGAGGGGTGGGGGGTGAAGGATGTGTGGACCAGGGTGTCCCAGAAGGAACGGTAACTGCAGAAGGTGGACAAGGGAGGGGAGGGGAATGGGTGTCTGGTGGTGGCATCTTGCCGGAGGAGGCAGAAATGGCATTTGATGATCTTCTGGACGTGGATACTGGTGGGATGGTAGGTAAATCCTCACAGATGCTGCAAGACCTGCTGAGCTTTTCCAGCAACTTTGTTTTTGTTCCTGATTTACAGCATCCGCAGTTCTTTCTCTTTTACCGAGATGTCAAGGCTTGGATCTCGGTGCAGTAGATGTTTGCTACAAATGGTAGCAGGGATAAGGGATTTTAGTTACATAAGTGACTGGAAAAGCTGAGATGTGAGAGATGTTTCATATTTATATTTTTACACAAGTATAAACCAGCATTCCTAGGTCATATTAATGCAATCTAATTTAAGGCAATATTCTGGATTTACCTTTTTGGTTGTTAAGAATCTTTCGAGATTCACTGAAATGCTTATGTTCTGCAAGACTCCTGCTAGGAGGGAAACTGAGATGAGGAAAGAGGCTTCATAGGTTACCTTTATAACATCTCCTCCAACAGTCTCACTGACTAAAACTAGTAGTCAAGAAGCAATGCAATTAGTACCACAAGTATTTTTACTCCATTTAAATGAAAAAAATTGACTTGTAATCCCAGAGATTCTACACATTCAATTGCCATCTAGAATGATTAATTATGGGTTCACTTTCCTAGAGTAGATCAGTGAATTCCTAACAAACCCTTAAATACGTAATTGCATAACATTCTTGCATGTCATTCCTCCATAGCTCAGGAGATAACATTTCTTGGCTGTTTTAAACTATTTTGATTTGGAATAAAGTTAATGCAGCTGAAAGAGACTTATCATTTAAAAGTTCTATATTTAATCCACTGGATCGCATGTCCTTGTAACAGATCTCCCTGATTGCTCACAGCAAATCAGAAAACAACCAATGTAGGAATTGTAGAACATTGTTACTCAGGGCTTAACTGTTTGGTGTGAGAAACTTGCATATTGAAACGTGGTCATTTTTGGTGAGATTCGAAATAAAACTGCTTTAGATCTGCATTACAATAGTTTTACAGATTAGCAACAAGTGAAATATTAATTTATTACAATAGGTCAAGTTCTAATCAATTAGTGAGACAGACCATTTCACAAATGAACATTTTTATCATCAGCAATCTTTATTAAAAGTTTTTTTTTTTAAAACATATCAAGACAGCTGGGACTGTACAGCATTTTACCCAGCCAAGTGAACAAAAACCAAAATTACCCTTGTACAATGTTAACATTAAACTTGAACCTCAAATATTTCAAATATGCACTAATGCAACATCTTTTAATCAATGCCATCCATTCATTTGGTCATCAAAACTCAGACCCAAAATTCTGAACCTTAAATGTTGCTAACTGCCAACATGCATTAAAATGAGGAGTCAGTGTACATTTTACAACCACCTCAGATATAAACAGATTTAAGTCACAAAACTGAGCACTTATGCAAGAAAATACTTTGCCAGGTACTAAAGTGAAAATCTGATGAGTAGGCTTTTATTTTAATAGCCAAAAAAAAGTCAACATATACTGAATTCCACATCTGAAGAGAATGCTAATGAATGAAAGCTTCCATTCAAATTATGGCAATTTCCTACAAAGATGTCTTGTTACCTTATAGCTTGAACAAATAACATCTTGAAAAGCAAATAAAAAAAGCTTTCACATTGTATTTAAGAGGCATCTAATTTCAGAGTTATCTAACAAAAGATACACATTCACATTGAGCTGAGTCATAGCTTGCATGTTTGTCAACAAACCCATGCTGTCCATTTTAATAGTTTGAAATAATTTTCTTTGGAAAAAAAACAGGTATGGAAGTTTTATGTACTTCAATTTGCTATTCCAATCAAGACAGTTTCATTGGTATAACATGGAGCAAGAGTTTGGGACACACAGTCATTAAGCCAAGTATTTTCACCACAAAGCAATTTGTGCTGTTGAGGACCAAAGTAATTTTATATTAAATGCCAAATTCAAAGTGTAGTAATCCAGGGGCTGGTCAGATCTTGTGAGCTGTTAAATACAAGATCCAATGTCGTGAGACAGACACACAACTAATGGAAGAAAGCCATTATTTGTAACTAGTACCATTTGCTTGATTTATACTGTGTCAAAGAGCTGGATTTAAAGCAGCATTTTAATGAGCTTCTTGAACATCTGAAACCTCTTCTGTAATGGCCTCTGTGGCACTTGCATTCGCTGCAGAGTTTAGAACATTCCCAAAATCGCCACCTCCTTCCTTGTTGCCTGCAACTTTAGACTGCGAAAAATCAAATGAATACCGATTATAAAAAGGTGATGAAAATATAATCTAAAATTAAACCAAAGGCACTTGTACAAAACATTAAGATGACGCTTTAACAATTTACTAAAAAAATCAGTGTTGAAATGATGTTCATAATAAAAATATCAAGCTAATTCTCAGTGGAGTTGACATCTTAAAATTGTGTAAGATTTTACTGAAATGTTAAAAATAGAATCCTGTAAAATTTAAAATGAGCTTTTTTTATAAAAAAGAGCCACCAAATGGAAAGTTCATTACTATTCTCCCTTTACCATAGTCCAACCAATGGCTCAATTACTGCATAATGGAATATTCACAACCTATTTTCCTATATCCGCACAAAGAAACAATAGTCTTTCCTCCTTTTTGACCAGTGACTCATTAGCAGTACAAACCTGCAAGATTTGCAAATGATTTTAAGATGGTGAGAACCCGAGATCCATTGCCCTTATCAGTGAAACATGAGAATAGGTGCCTTTCCACTCAAACAGCACGAGATAAATTCTCAGATGTTAATCCCAAATGAAAATGAATGAGTGCTTCCAGGTTATAACTGTCTTCCTCGTGACCAATATTAGGGGAAAAATCTAAAGACGTCCAAATATCAGTAAGTCTGAAGATTTTGAAAAAATAATGAAGTAGACCACAAATACATATACTACGTCCCTTTGGAAACCCAGAGGTTTAGAAGAGTGGTGGTGCGCAGAAAGGAACCTTGAAGATTGACATTCTAAATTTTACCTGCCTAAAACTATAGTTTAATCTTTGTAAAGCTATTTTATTCAACAACCCAAGCAAAGTCTCAAAAAGTTAACATATGCGCTACCTTTAAGCTTTCAACTCTATCTTCAAATGACTTGAAAGTTGGTGAATTTCTGCAAGAGAAGATAGATAAGATTTTAACATTCAATACCGAAAATGACTTTCACTCGTTTAGATTTAGCCATAATATTTTAAAAGTAAATCAAAATTAGCATTGTTTTCTAATCTATTGCAGAATGATGCCTCCATCTTGCAACATTTTTAAACCAGCATTTGATAACAATAGATTGTACAATATTTACAGCAAAGCCAACAGGAAAAAGACACCAGACTAACAAACAAAAACTGATCCAAAACTACATAAAATCAACTTTGGTAACATTATAGAACAAAAGCCTATGATATGATGTCCATGAATCATTTGAAAATGTATTTACGCAATCACAAATACAGAATCAATGTAGTGAAATGCAAAGAGTGTGCAGGCAAATTAAACATTTCATCTACTCTTAAAAAGGATCATTTTAAACTCGGTCATACTACACTAACACTAGAAGAAAACAACATTTGGCAAAACTTAAGGCATGTTCTTCTGGTCTTTTCTTGGAACTGCCACATTCTATACCAGCCCCTGCTGGAAAAATGGTGTGTTGCAATATTTAAGAAGAAAAATAAAATAAACATTGAGATAACATCCAAGAACAGCAGTGTGAAACCTGGGTCTAAATATTTTTTCTTCCACACTGTGGAGAAGTACTTTTACTTGTACTTCAGTTGAGCACCTAGACCTTGCCACTCAACTGCACAGTATGGCTGAAGCTTTGAGCAAGTAGTACAGTGTAGTGCGGTCATCCAGACTGTTCCAATACCAAAGTAAACTTTTCCTCTCTCCCACCCAAAAAATCTAGAAACTGCAAAGCTGTATAGTAATTATTGGTTATCTGCCAGGATCCTGGAATGGGGTAGTGCTGGTTAATCAAATCTGCCAGTTATCCCCTGGATACAAGACAAGATGCTAACACCTGGACACCACAGTGAAAGTACCACAAATGAAGACCAAGCTGACAACACAGCTGACATCACAACCTTCGGACAGAGGAAAAAAAAGTTGTCAGTTTCACTGACAGTTGCTCTGAACAGTATATCTTTGTTTAGACTAAATAACAAAAACTGACCCAATAATTTCAATGTAAAGCCCAAAAACAACTTATGTACATTTTACAATATTAATGATAATCTTGTGTTATTATCTGAACACTGAAAATAACTAGATTTTAAAGAAAAAAATCATCTCAGGAATTCCTGATACAAGAAAAATTCAGGTGGTATAGTGCTCAATACCATAAGTTCATTGCTACCACTCCCACAACGAAGTCTAGAAATTTCAAATCAACAAAAGCCACAAGAGCATGACCAAGTCAGTATTCAAATTTGAAGACAGAAGTTCAAATATCAATCTATAACGTCTGCTAACTACAGTGTACTAACAAAACAGACAATGAATTAGCCATTACATTTTATTTCAATGCATATAATACAGTACCTCATAGCAGGCATGCTAATTGAGTGTCGTAGGGAGTGAATGCTAATCGGCCAGCATTAAGGAAACAGCAAAAAGTTAGTTCAAAAACATGTAGTACTTGGTTTATGACAGACTAATAGGAAGGAATGTTTCCAAAACACCACCTTCCACTTTTAAGCATTGAAAGAAACAATTTTCCATTTGTGGCTCAGCAGACCAACCTTCTACACAGTACATCAATTCATGCATTTTATTTTCAAGTAATATTTAATTTCACGAACTGAACAGAGATTGATTTTGTGCTTCATTATCATAAATTACACCTTCCTTACCTAAAAGAATGTGAAAAAGCATGTAATCTGCAGGATGTCATCATGATACGGTGAGCATTAACAAGAAAATTGAACACAAAACAGGTCACTAGTACTGTAAATTTAATTGATTTTAACATTTCAGACTTGGCTGTTCTTAGTTATAGTAAAACAATTGTAGAGTAGCCAGAATTTTCAGGAATGGTTTGCATTAAGGAAAGCTCCTGAATAGGTAATTCTCTAACCACAAGGGTGCAGCTGTTTTTGTGGAGGTGGTTCTTTCAAAAGAAATTAAGAGTCTACACGATCAAGTACATCTGCAAGATATTGTATCTCTTTGTAATGGTCACAAACTCATCTTGCAAATTTATAATATTTGGCCTAAATACATCTTGGCTCAAGATCGCGTTATGTAGAACTCTGGCCTAGTACTTCATGGCTCATGGATACAAATGGCATCTCAAATGAACTATTCTTTTTGTAGAAAATTATTCTTTGCTTTTGGAAGTGAAGCAAATACATTACATCGTAACAACAAAAATTTTTATTACTTCAGTTTAAACTAGGATCACATTCAGATCATGCATTAAAAGCCCTCATTTAAAAACTAAGGTTCTGAATCAAAACTATGAGAAATAAGAATGGCATTAAAATATAAACTATTGGAGCAACAAAAAAATACTAATCAAGCAGAAGTAGAAATTCAACAACAATTTTGATCAAATTTTAAAATTTTAGGCAAAAGACAAAAAATGCCAGAAATACTCAGCAGGGCTGGCCCAGATAGGGAGACTGTTTCCCTCTCCACAGATGCTGTCTGATCTTGCAGAGAATTTCACATTTCCAGCATCAGCATTCTTCTGTTTTTGTATTAACATTTCTAGCATATTGCTCCCATTTAACAACACAAGCATTGATTGTGATTTCTAAGTAGTAAAGCATTAATATCAACATTCAGCTAAGAGGTTGTGTGTGTAAAGTGACTTATTACTTAGGTTAAGGGCAGGACCAGCTGCCAAAACCAACATATATTCTGAAAGTTCTTGACATTTAATAGCATTTCTCAAATGATTCATTTTATGCTTCAGCATTGGTGGCTAGTGTAATCTCCAACAGATACTGGTTGAACTTCTAAATTATGAGAAAATTCTGCTCCAGCACCGTTGAGAGTAGCATTTGTATTCCACAATCCATTCACTTTGTATCATTCTGGGACACATCAGTGTTGTTTGCCGGGTGCTTCTAATCGGTTTCTTTCCCTTTCTTCTATTACCACCAACACTCGTTCCTCTAAATTTCTTCCTCCCTTGTGACTGACTCAAGATGGGGTGGAGTAATAATGTATGATGTACTGGAGGGCTGCTGACAAGTGAATATTCTGGGCACAAACCTAGATCATGACTGTCAACTCAAACTTATGTCCTTAAGCATTGAATAGTGTACTGTTCTTGCTCACTGGGTGAGATCAAAAGTCATGAATCCCAAGTGATTTTGTTCTCCAATGTCCCTAATTCAAGCTAATTGCTACCATCTTACTCTTAACTCAGCCAACTAGCACTTGGGATTTCATGATGTTTAGTACTTATAATAGGTGGAATACAATAGCAAATCCACAGCAAAAATGGAAGCAAAAGTAAATAGTAATAACTTATGTCAGATGCCAGCAAAATTCACAGTTGAGTATCCAAAGCTTATGCAGAACCAATCCTCTTCACAAATTTGAATAAATCAGAGGGAGCTAAATTACTAACTCCACGAGAAACTGGCTCAAGGTTGCAGAGCTACCACCAAATACAGTGAATTCTTTCATTATAGCTCTTATGGCAAACTTAAAACAGTGATTATATTCCATGGAAGTAAACCTATATAGTTTCATTTCACAACAATCTGTACTACAGGACAAAAGGGTGCCAATTCATTGATAAGACTGGCCAAGGTATTGACAAGGCGAAAGAGCAGGCTGCTGTAGACTACTCTCCATTAAAAAAATACAAGGTTTGAATATACTCCCTTAGTTTGTAGAGGATGGATCCTTTCATGTCACTTCTAGCAAATTTAACTGAGCCACATTAGCAACCAATTTGGAATAATCAACTATTCATGTGCTCACATCAAGTACTGCCTAATTTAGAATCACAACAGTAGATATTTGACTGAGTTTTGCAAGTGAGATTGAAGACAGTCTGTATCAAGCTCATTATATGCACCCAAAGAAATATGTTTGACTCAATCAGCTAATCTTTCAGACATTTGGAATACATATAGAGCATAACATTAGCACTGAAATCCACATATCCTGCTGCTCAATTGTAGAGTGGTCTGATTCTCATTTTACAGTGATGACAGCATCCTCCTGGTGAAAAACATAACTTGTGTAGCCACTGAATAGAAGCAATGTAAAACAGGTTCTTAACTTCTGTTTCAAACTTGAGATACTACTATTTCCAGGATGCTTTCAGGTATGCCAGACACTAAGTAACAGAAGTGATAGCCTTTGCCAAATTTGCAAGCTTGATTGGTACAGTGAACAATACTACTCAGAACAAACATAGTCCCGCATCAAGCTTGCAAGTGAGAAGTGAGCAAATGGATCAATCACAAATGCATGAATAGCTACACTAACTAAAGATAGCCAGTTGATCTTGTGTGGCTCATTTACAATTGCTGGAAGCAAACTACATATGTAGAGAACCCTTCTCTGCAAATAATGAAATACATTCAAGTAACATTTGTACCACACAAGGACCACCTCCAACACAAGAAAAATCTAACCATCACCCTTTAACATTCAAGGAGATACTATCACTGCATCCTTCACTATTAATATTCCTAGTGACTAGGAACTGAATTGGACTAGCCATATAAATACTGTGACTACAGAAGTTAGTTTGAGGTTAGTAATCCTACTTGGAATAATTCACTTCCTGACTCCCCAAAACCTGTCCACCACCTACAAGGCACAAGTCAGGAGTGTGATGGGATACCCCTCTATTGCCTGGATGAATGCAGCTCCAATAACACTCATGAAGCTCGACACCATCCAGGACAAAGCACTTGACTGGCACATCCACATTCATTCACCCACTCCATCACTGATGCACAGTAACACACTGCCATCTTCAAGATGCAATACATCTAAAGCTCCTTAGCTAAACTCACGACCATCTAGCAGGCCAAGTACAGCAGATATGGCAACACCATCACCTGAAAGTTCTCTTCTTAGCCACTCACCATCATACCTTCAGTATTGCTGGGTCAAAATCCTAGAACACTCCCCATGGCAATGTTGGTGTACCTACACCAAACTGACTGCAGTTCAAGAATTACCTTATCAAGGGCAACAAAGGATGGGCAATAAATGCTAGCCCTGCCAGCAATGTCCACATCCCATAAATGAAGTTTAAAAACTTTTGATAGCTTTCAAATACACAGGAGATTGGGGTGTTGTACAGGTACAGCACATCTGCTGTGCAAATAATCCAATCAGTGGAACACAAAATGGTTACGGGGAAAGACTTAGAATGTATACTTCTACACCTGTAAGGGTCTTAAAATCAGAAGAAAAATTTGTGCAATGATCAGTTTTGCTGTACAATAGATTAGCAAAAGAACACTAATTAAATGTTGAGAAAAGTTAGTCTTCTGGTAATATTTCTTGCTACACGAGCAATGCGGCAAAATAGAAAGAGCCAGAACTAGAGTTCTTCCTTACTTTAGAACAACCAATTCTAAGCACTATTGAATGAGCTATTATTTGAGAGAATTTATCAGCAATTAAGCACTGCAACAAACTCACTTCACACTTCATATTCAGCAGCTGCCGAGTCTTGAAAAATATTAAACTACAGCGGTACTAATCTATACTATGTTCAGAACAGAAAGAGCATGAACTCTTTCACAAGCCACAAGGTCAAAATGTCTGCAAAACCTTACAAAGCCTGAGTTGAGAAACTTAAATATAACTGTACATGCACGAATAATTTGAATTAAGTACTTACAGACATTAAGTTATTTTCAATTGGAAGGAAAAAAGTGTCTAGGAGCTGCAAGCTACAACATTATGGGATATTCTTATGGGAGTGGTGGGGTGGTGTTGGAGTAAAGAAAGGAAAGAACACTACGGGTTTTATGACAAATAAAGCAGTTAAGTAAAACAACTGCATTACTTGCCTTCAAATGCAAGTACCCTCTACGTACTGGAAAAGGAAGTGAGTTGATAAGGGGTAAAGTGAGGTTACTCCAAGACACTGGGACATCATTCAAGTGTATTTCCCCTCTGGTACAGTACAGAGATGCTCTTTTGCAAGAAGGCCTCAGTTCTCTCCCAGATGTGGTAGAACACAGGTGAGTTCAACTATTTACAACAAATGTTTACATCCTCCAACATGTCAAGTAGGATCTTGGTATGTAGAGGATACTTCCATTCAAGAAATGAAGACAAAGAAAGTTTAGATTGCCTACCTTTGCTCTTCATTCCAGCATCTTCCACAGGTCACACTGTCAGTAGTATTTAAGAGGAGGGGATGGTTGTGGGAGGAAAGGCAACCTTCTCAATCTAGACGAAACACCTTCCTCCAGAACAGACCTGCCAAAGTGCACGTCATTCTTAACCAACAAACCCAAGGAATAATGCTAAGAAAAACTATATGGGTTTTCCAAGTCACACCCTTGCACGTGCAATTTACAATAAACTAAAGATTAGCCGATGATGCAAATTTAGTAGAATGATGACTATACTTCTATCTGAAGACTTATACATGCTATATTTAACAAAGCAGAAAACATTGCAGGTATTGCTCCAGTCATTGTTTCAATATTACAGCAGCAGAAATAAGTGTTAAATTTGGTACAAGTAGTTGGCTTCCAGTTTCAAATACCAATAAGCTAAAGTCCTATTTGTAACTATGAAATAGAATTTCTGCTCTAGCACAAGTTCCTCAGAAGGAGCACAAAATAAAGGAAAATAGTTTTACTACGACATTCACTTTAGGTACAAAGCTTTTGCACTGCATCAG